TGTGGCCAATTATATACTTTCTCTGTAATGGCTCAGAATAAAAAAAAGTTAATCAATTAGGTCTGGTCTTTATATTTGCTGCAGCAAATCAAAACTGTGCCCGCTGCCCTGCTTTTTCCTTTTAGGGTTGTATGTCCCACTGCTTTGAGAAAATGTTAAAAGCTTCAAAGGATGAAAAAGAGAAATATTGTATTTAACTTTTATAGAGTGTTTAACTCCTACACAGGAGAACTGAGGATTTCCAAAACCAGGTGTAATAAACATCACAGAATTTTAAAAATTATTGTTATAAAAGTTTGGCAAATCTTTTTTTGCTGCAAAATCCATCCTACATACAGAACAATTCCAGGAGTTGCTGTTATATCATTAGAAATGTAGCAGAACCAGCCTGTCAGAAATGATCTCATTTTGAAGTCTGATCACTCCAGTGTCCTGCTAGAAAGCTGCTTTCCTTGAGCGTTTCAAGGAATGTTTTTGTCTTGCATACAGTATAAAATGGAAACTGCTATATTGGCCAGAAAGTACTCAAATTAATATTTTAATCCTGAAGTCCTTTGTGGATCAATGTTATATTTTTAAATGGTTTATCCCACAGATAAAATATTTACTGACCATTGAGACAGTGATGTGAGTAACTAAGAAAGCCACAAAGGTTTTTTTGTTGTAAGAGTATTAATTTTAGATGCTGATGTTATTACTGGGTAATATGATGCCTACATAGATTTGGAAGTAGGTTCACCAAACTGGGCAAATCTCTAGCACAACCATATTTGAGCTGCACATTCCTCCTTGCTGATAGATTGCTGGATTAAGACAAAATCCTAAGAGGAAATGAATTTTCCTGAATCAAACTTATTAATAATTATTGTGTACCACAGAAAATTGTCTCTGTCAACTTCAGGAACTAACAATAGAAAATTGTATGAATGAAATAAAAACAAATTTAAAAGCTCTGATGAATTTATTTTGCAGAGGCTGTAGGCAAATGTGCATTTCTTGAAAGGTATAATCTGAAGACTGTTTCAACAGAGACCCCATCTTAGGAGCTAACTCTACTTTTCAAACAAACTTTTTACAAATGAAGTCTTAGCTTAAGCCAGTGAAACTTCTTGTTCTGACATGTTGCTTGGATGTGAAGCCAGAAAGCTTCAGAGCTAATAGCAATCACAAACATAAATACTGACAAGTTCTCATGATTATTTTTGTAAACACCAGCAGTCAGAATATGATTGAGCACTGGTCTTCAGAATTAATCTTTTTCCCCATACTCTTCTAAACAATAGCAATTTTATTTTCAAGAAAGTGACATCATTATAAAATTCAGAGATCAGTAACTTGTATTTAGTATGTGCAGATTGACTGCCTTGTTCCGTGTTCCAGGGAACCTTCTTTGTAACAGAACAGACTGCCTCAAAGGAACTTGCAGACTAATAGTGACCTTTTATGTCACAGACAGTACTTTACTGTTGGTGAGGCTTGGTTGTAGATCACATTTCTGTGTACAGCACAAGTCTTGTTATATCCTGATTGGTGAATTTCAGTGTGTGAAGAGAGATTTCTTCTTGAATCAGGGTGAGTATATCAGTGTCTGCAGTCTGAAGGTGGGCACAGGCCTACTGTGATGCAATTTCAAACTTGTATTCCTTCTTTTCTCCTATTTCTCCAGATTACATAATTATAAATGGAATATGCCCTGGTAGACAGAAGGTCTGACTGCCCAGGTATTTGCATTTGACAAGAATACAATATCATTCCTCCCATCCGTTGTCCACAGTCCATTCACATCCAACCAGGCTCTCCTAATGGGCAGGTTGGAACCACATCTCCCTATTGTAAACAAAAGGAACTTGTTTCATGAACGTCAATGAGTGCAATTTTGCTGGATGTAAGGTAAGTGAAAACATGGGTTCATTCATGTGCAGCCAGACACAGCGGTCGATGTATGTCCCTGACAACAACATCACCATTCCTGAATATATCCTGTCCCAATGACATGGTTGCAACCACCACCTCTTCTGGGTCTCTGTGGTATACAGTCAGGAGGGAGTTGCCCTGGGAATCGTCAACATTGACTTTGGACCCCATGAAGTCTCATATCACGGGAAGGCACATGGGATGTTTGCTTTCATTATCCGGGGCATAAAATATAGGAGTAGGGAAATCTTGTTACAACTTTATAAATGACTCAGAGGTAGTAGGAGCTGTTGAATGCTGGAGTCAGAGATAACACAGGGTGGAGCTGGAGGAGCACAGTAGGCCAGGAGCATCAGAGGTGCAGGGAAGTTGATGTTTTGGGTCAGAAGAAGGGTGCTGGCCCGAAGCGTCAACTTTCCTGCTCCTCTGATGCTGCCTGGCCTGCTGTGCTCCTCCAGCTCCACACTGTACTACATCTACAACTTTACAAATGTTGGTTAGGCTACAGATGAAATACCGTGTGCAGTTCTGGTCATCACACAATTGGAAGGATGTTGCCTGGGATTAAAAGTCTGTTATGAGGTGAGACTGTAGAGGCTAAGTTTGTCTTTCTTGGAGCAGAAGAAGCTGAGGGGGGATCTGACTGAGGTATACAAAATTATAAGGGATGTAGGGTAGGTTATGAGAATCTTCTCCCCTATGGCAGACGTATCTAAGACCAGAGGGCATAAGGCTACTGAGAAGTGGTGTAGAGGTGATCTAAAGAAATTTCCCCCAGAGGGTAGTGGAAATATGGAATGCTCTGCCTGAGAGGGTGGTGGACGGAAGTACACTCATAACATTGAAGAAGCATCTGGATGAGCACTTAAAATGCCAGGGCATAGTCTATGGACCAAGTGCAGGTATGTGGATTTAATGTAGTTTGGTGTTTGTTGGTCAGCACAGCTGTGATGGACCAAAGGGCCTGTGTCTACGCTGCATGATCCTATGACTTGCCTTCCATTAGAAAATCAAAAGTGGGCATAGTTGCATAATCTTCAGCCCAATTTACAACTCCTCAAATAAAGTATCTGCCTGTGCCTGCCTGTACTAACACCTGGACAATTTCCAGGCTTGGACTAATAAGTGGTATGTAAAAATTGCACCATTCAAGTTCCAGTACAACGACCATCTGCAACGGGAGAGAATTTAGTCATGTTCCATTGACATTCAACAATATTATCATAGCTGAATTTCTCACCCATCAATAATTTGGGAGCCGCCATTGACCAGAAACTGAACTGGACCATAAATAAATACTGTATATAGAACAGCAGGTCAAAAGAATTATGTGGTGTGTAACTCATTTCCGAAAAGCCTGTCCACCATCTACAAGGTATGAGTTAGGAGTATGATGGAATATTCCCCGCTTGCCTGGATGAGTGCAGCTCCAACACCATTCAAAACAAGACAATGCGAGTAAGTCATTTTTTTTAAACATATTAAGCTGTAATTACTTGGAACTTTCTGCCTATGAAAGCAGTGTAAGTGGAGAGACTAAGGATTTCAAAATGAAATTAGGCATTTATAAGAAGCAAATTTGAAGGCCTGCTGAGATACAGAGAGGGAATAGGGCAGACGCTGAAAGAGCGCATTGGCATCTTGGGCTGAATGGCCTGCTTCAATTCTGTAATGACTCTACCACACCACCCGTAATAAAAGCAGCTGCTTGATTGGCACCCCATCCGCCACCTTTAACATTCCCTCTCTCCAATACAGGCACTCTCTCACCACAGTCTGTCACATAAACGAGATACACTGTCGCAATTTGTCCAGATCATTCACAGCACCCGCCATTCCTTTGCCCATTCTGAACCCGCAGTGACAAGAGAGCTCACACCAACTCGGTTGGCAAACGATTTTATTTTATCAAAGATGACCAAAAGGAAACACAGCCATCCTGGCTGGACTGCCTTAAGGGAGCTAAAATACAACATCAGGAATCACATGTTAAGACTGACCTGACTTGCATAAGAGGGGGGAAAAAGCCTCTAGTTCTGGAAAAGCTCGATTAATACTTGTAGCATTCGAGGGACAGACAACCAAGTTGACACGGGATGGGGACTTGCACAGTAAATATGTTGCAGTTTAAAAGGCGAAAGTTTTCCGGTAGTTCTGGGACAGTCAGCTATCTGGCCTCTAGCGCCTGGGCACAGATCTGCTGATACACAAATAAACATTCCCCCGAAGTGAAATCATTCAGCGTCCCTGTGATGTTCCTGCCAGCCCAAGGTTTGAATTTAATCAGGGGACAGGGAATCCACCACCTTCTTCCCAGCCACGACATTCCCCAACCGGTAAAAGCACCGGAAACCACAATCTGAACGAGAGAGAAAAAGAAAAAAAAATCACAGCACGAAAATAAAAGCAAAAACAAAACACTGCGGATGCTGGAGATCAGAATTTTTAAAAAGCGACGGAAAGCGTTGGAGAAATGTCTGGCAACACCAGGGTTAACGTGTTCGAGTCCCCTTTGATTCTTCAATTTCTGCAGCATTCTATGTATTTGTTAAAAATTTCTAGAACCCACAGTTTTCGGTTTTTAACTGATTAACCTCCCCCGACACACACTTTCTTTGGAACAGCGCACACTCTACAGGGTGCTCTCTCCAAACCAGTCACACACCTTGAGTTTACAAGTGTTTGTCCACTGCCCTTTATTGAATTATGATCTTTTTCTGTGTGTTACTGCCTTGATTGCAACACTTTAGAGTGTCAGTATCCAAGTATGAAACCATTTCCAGATGAGGCATGTGGATTAATTGAATGATCATTAAAATCTATCCAGGACAAAATAAAAAGTCAAGGCTAGAAGTTGTCCTATATATATATATATATATAAATTAGACGTAGTCTTGCCAATAATTCCACGCTGAGGGTTTTGTAATAAAAGAGTTACCGGATATCTTATTCTGACTGGTGATAAAGCACACCATTAATGAAATAACGTCAGCTCAGAAAAAAAACACACAGGATTGCTTTAAATGGCAACTGGTGTCATGAGGGGCTGCGCCCACGTGGCTTGGAGTTGTCTATATAAATTGCTTCTGCAGCACTCAGTCACAGATTGGAAGTTGCATCAAGTTTTGGAGCTGCATTTGTTTTTATTTTGTTGGACAGACAGACAGACAGACAGACAGACAGACGGACGGGACTCCTGGGGAGGAGGAAGACACGGATGGCAGCAAGCAAGCAGGGCGAGGTGGTGGGCATCTGCACCAGCTACCAGGCGGTGATGCCCAGCTACGCCGGGATCACCGAGGAGTTCCCGCAGTCGCTGCGCCGCCAGCTGCAGAAGAGCAAACTGAAGCCGCGGAGGGCCCGGGAAGCCCGCTTCAAAACGCAGCCGGTCACCTTCGACGAGATCCAGGAGGTGGAAGAGGAAGGGGTTTCGGCGCTGGAGGAGGAGAAAGCCAAGAAGTCGTTCCTGCAGTCGCTGGAGTGCCTCCGGAGGAGCGCGCAGAACTCGCGGGTGCACAAGTCGAGCCTGAGCAACTCGAAGCTGCGGTACAGCCTGGACTCCAGCGACTCCGATTCCGCCCATTGATGGTTCACCAGCTCTTCCCCCTCCTCCTCCTCCTCCTCCGTTCCCCAGCCCTCTCCATAAACCCCACCAGGACAGAAGGACTGTGCTTCATAATGAAGTTTTCTTAATGCTGAATTTTGTTTTTTTTCATGGAAAAAAAAATCTATTTTCAAAAGGGAACTTTGACTCGTGCAAGAGAGAAAGGCAAAAACAACACCGAGGTATAAGTCCTGATGTGAGATGTCGTTTTGTGCTTGAATTTTTGCAAGTTGTGGAATGAACGCCCTGCTCGGAGCCTCTTTTCTCTTTCTCACAAACTGGAGAGTGAACTGACATTTTTTTTTATGCCTCTTCTGAAAATGTTGTGGACGTCACTGAAGTTGGGACACGGATTATAAATGCAACTTTTTAATTTTTAAGCAAAAAAAAACAAAGAAGAACGGTTGTTTTCTACTCTGCTTTCGGAATAATTAAAATGCGAAATGTAATTTAAATGTCCTTCCTACTCGTCTGAGTGGGACCCGCAGATACTCTGAATACTCGAATGAGGATTGTAAGAATTTATTGGGAGTCTTGCCAAAATGTACAATGCTTTTAATACTAAAAAAAATGGTAATTTATATGTTTGTAATTTTTGTGATAGTTGCAAAAATTAATATTGTAATGGCTTGTAATTAATAAAATCAATGTAAGTTTAACACCTTTATTTCTCTTTTTCTTATAAAAATTGCATGAGCTTTTTGCTTTTAAACGTCGAAGTGACACAATTTTGTACAGTCTGGCTGTTAAACGTCCCACTTGAAACAAAATGTATTGCTTCTCTCCTAATCTCTTGGATTCGGTTTCATGTTAATCTAATCACGAGAGTTTTTTTTTTGATTTCTCGGGATCCTGCCGTTAAGATCATGTTGTGCCGCATTAGCGTTTTCCATGTGGCTCCTATGTATAATATTAGAATTAATACACGTGCTTTTCCCTGCTGCTCCAGATCCGCGTGAATTCTAACATGTAGTCAACGTCAACTTCCCCCCCCCCCCCCCACCTTCCCTATTTTTTTAAAACCAGAAGTGTCTTATTTTTGTATTGAGAACATGTGAGCGAAAAAAAAAATGCAATTTTAGTTTTCAGTCCAGTCCAATCTGACTGCCCCTATATGTTCCTACTGCCAATCTTCACGCTGCTCCCGATAGACAGTGGGCGCGGAGCGGGGTCGAGGGCTCAATGGCCTACGGATGTAAATGTTTGTGCAGCCTGAAGGAGGCACGTTTGCAACCAGCGTGCGGTGTGTTTTTGGTTAAAAAGCGAGAGCGCCGTTAGGTTACTCTGAGCCGAGCTTCTTTAGCCCCCTGTCCTTCCTAGTTTGTTGGATTTAGCCGTCAACCCCCGCTTTTACACATTGAACCAGTCAGGCATCCGGTGGGCTCTTGTGCTTTAGTTGAGGCAAAAATCTTCACCCTTTTACTGCCAATTTCCATACTCGTGCCATGTCTATTCAATGTTTGTAGTAGGTACGTTGACACTAGCAATTCCCCATGTACTCTTCCTAATTTGGCTGCATTCTTTTCAGCTTCTTAGTGTCAAAATGCCTGGTGATGCCAAAGGAATTGTGTTGCACACGTCTGACTGGCTGTACCCTTGGTGCCCATTGCTGGTTTGTTTATCATTTGCAGCGTACAGGCACTGCTGTAGGAATTGGGCTGATCTTTCAAACCTTTGTTGTTATTTTAAAACGGGTGCTTTTAACTGGGGGAGAAAGGTGAATAATCCAAGTGGGATAGGTATGTCAAGGATTGGGATGTTTATATGGACAAGATCTGCTGCCTTACCATGCATTGCAGATTTAAAAAAAAATTCATGGGATATGGGCATCACTGGCTGAGCTACTATTGATTGCCCATGCCTATATGCACTTGAGAAGGCTGTGGTGAGCTGCCTTCTTAAACCACTATTGTCTATTTGGAGAAGGACATCCCCAGTGCTATATTCTATGGTTATTGACCCAGCAACACTGAAGGAACGGCAATATATTTACAAGTCGGGAGGGTGAATGGCTTGAAGAGGAATCTGCAGACAGTGATGTTCTCCTGTATCTGCTGTCCTTGTCCTTCTCAATCATACTGGTTGTGAGTTTGGAAGTTCTTGGATTATTTTAAGAAGTCAGGTGTTGAAACATATTATTCATTTGGCCATTATATTATGGGATCTTGCTTTGTGCAAATAGTCTGTCACATTTCATCACCACACAAAGCTCTTCAGAGGCTATAAAATCCTTTGTACTGCACCTTGTGGTCCTAAATGATGCTACATAAACGCAAGACTTTATTTATGGTCCGAACCATACTGTTGCCTTGGAATACATTCCTGATGTGAGATTTAATACATTTATTGTATCTGCACAGGCTTTCAAACCAAATATGCATTTTGGAATAATGGTTCCCTTTCAACTTACGTAGAAGTCTTCCGAATCCAATCATGTGATTTTAAAACAGCTACTGTGTAAGCCACTGTTTTAAGGCTCTGTTGCAAGTGGGGAATCCAAATGTAGCTGATTTCATCTTTTCCTTGTAAATGAATTGGTAATGGACTGAGTTGTTGGGCTGTGATCCCAATGGTCTTATACAGGTATGCAAGTGTGCTTCAACAAATTTTCTGCATATTAAGTTTTAAAGAAAGGCACAGTATGTGAATGTTCTTTGATCATTGTATGTGCATAGCTTCCTCAATTTGTTGCTGTTAAAATATTGTGGCGAGTGTGTATGCACTGCATTTTCTTTATTCATTCATGGGATGAAGGTGTCGCTGACTGGGCCAGCATTTATTGCCCATTCCTAATTGCCTAGAGGAGAGTTTATGCCTCAAACACATTGCTGTGGGTCTGGAGTCACACATAGACCAGACCAGATAAGGGCTGGAAATTTCCCTTCCCTAAAGGATATTAGTGAATCAGATGAGTTTTTCCAACAATTGACAATGGTTTTATGGTCATCATTAGATTCTCTTATTTCCAGATTTTAAAAAAAATGAAAATTCAAATTCTACCATCTGCCATGGGGGTTTTTAAACACTGGTCCCAGAACATTACCTGGGTCTCTGGATTAATGGTCTAGTGACAATACCACTAGGCTATCATCTCCCCTTTGGCACTGTGAAAACATCTACAATCTTCTATGGAGAACAGAGCTATCCTGGTGTAACCAATCCGAGTATTCACTCCAGGCTGTCCGAATCAAACAGCCCAACCCTTCAAAAGGACATGTTCTGGCAAAGGGCAAGCTGTATCTAAGTGCAACCGGGTCAGAGGGCAGAGATGACTCAAGGGGTACCTCTCATTATGCGAATCAATATTCTCAATCACTCATGTGTCACCCTGTTGTTTGCTACCCCTGGAAAAAGATTGAGGTGCTGCATGTGATGTGCTATGCCTGACACATCCTTACCACAATTCCAAATCTTGGTTCAAGAGAAAAATTGTCATTTTGCACTGAGTGGTGTGAGATATTCCTCAAATCAATATCCACACACGTGGATTGCCTGTGGTGTGAGTCAGGAGTTCCTAGTAAAATTCGAACATGGAGCTACAATAATGGTACTGAACCACTGCAGTCTTTTGGTGTAGGTAAACCCACAATGCTGCTAGGGAGGGAGTTCCAGGATTTTGACCAGCGACACTGGAGGAATGGCAATCTATTTCCGAGAATACTGCGGTGTCTAGATAGGGTAGATGTGGAGAAGCTGATCCTGCTATAAGGAGAGACTAGGACCTGTGGGCACAACATCAAAGTGAAGGGGTGACCCTTTAAAACAGAGATGAGGAATTTCTTCAGAGGGTGATGAATTTGTGGAATTTGTGAGTGTCTCTGGGACAGAGATAGATAGGGCCTTGGTTAGTAAGGGGATTAAAGATTACATGGAGACAGCAGAGAATGGGTTGAAAAATGTATCAACCATGAGCAAACTTGATGGGCCAAATGGCCTGATTCTGCTGCTATGTCTGATGGTCTCACGGAGTCAGAATGGTGACTGGTTTGGAGGGGAATTTGCAGATGGCAGTGTCCCCATGTATCTGTTGCCTTTGTCCTCTTGATTGGAAGTGGTTGGTTTGGAAGGTGTTGCCTAAGGAGCCTTGGTGAATTTCTGTCGTGCATCTCGCAGTGCTGACCCCATGTTTAGTCAGTGACTTTCATTGTGCAACGTTGATGTAATCAATAACAGTTAAGTTTTATTTCACAAGCTGTGCCTATTATTTAAGAGCAATAAACAAAATAAGTTCATAAGGTAATTCATTAACTGTTAGTAAAAAAAAAACTAAATGAGAAAAGTACTGTGATCTCAGCCAGATGTATCTTCCAACACTTACAAATGATATTTTGTAGTCAGCTGGGCAATTTTGCATACTCCCACATGTTAGGTGGAGCAGATTACTTTTCAGTGACTTAGAAATCTGTTATATCACAAGGTTACTCTGAGTTTCTATTCATAGTTTTTTTTCACATACTTTGGACATTAAACACGTTTTAAAATGTAATTTCTGAGTGCAAACATGTCTGATATGTAATATCATTTTGTCAATGATGTGATCCTTGTGAAACAAATTGCTTTCCTTGTTATTTCTGTGCATGAGTGCTGTAAGTCAGGCTAGTCTCAGGACTAATGACACCATGTAGTAAACTTCATAGATGATATCAAATTAATAACTCACAAGTGAGAAGTCACAAATGAGTTGTGGCTGCTATGAGAAACCATTCACCCAATGTCACAGTGTGCCACATATTTATGTGGTTTTCATGGCTGAAAATATAATTGAAAAATTTATCTAAAAATTCTTTCAACCATCCTTTATTATACTGTTTATTTGGATGTGAAAATATAACTCAGTTTTAATAATGTATGTCCAACACAAGTGGATTTGAAAAGAGAAAGTATTTGGAGATTTGTTTGATCGACAAACATGCATACCTGACTGATGTTCAGGCTATTTCTTCAAGTTGTTTCTAAAGCTTCATTGAAGGTTATAGAATTTTCCAAGGTGTGTAGGGGTATTTTTAAAAGTTCATTTAAAAGGATTTATTGCAAATCCCAGTGCCCTTAAAAAGGTGGTGGTAACCTACTTTCTTGAACCGTTGCAGTCCATTAGTGTAAGGACACCCACAATGCCATTAGGGAGAGAGTTGCACCAGTTTCAGTGACACTAAAGGAATGGCAATATATTTCCAGGTCAGGATAGCAATTGACTGGGAGGGGAATTAGCAGGTGATGGTTTGAAAGATGCTGTCTAAGGAGCCTTGGTGAATTTCTGTGGTACATCTTGCAGATGGTAAACACTGCTGCTACTGAGTATCGGTGGAGGCGTTTGTCAATATGACACCATTGGGAATCAATGGCAATCTGGGAAAAACCCTCCGCTGATTTTGTATCCAATTGGCTAGCACCCCCTGGATCCCATATGATATAACCATATTAACCAGTCTATCATGCGGTACCTTGTCAAAGGCCTTGCTAAAGTCCACCTTGGCCACCTCTTCAAAATTCTCAATCAAGTTTGTGAGACACGATTCCCTTATTTTAAGTGATATATACTCTAGACCATGTAAATATTGCTTCTTCAACTATGGAATAATATGGCAACACTTAGCCTGTATCAAGCTTAGAATTAGTGAAATACCCATTGATATAAATATACCCCTCACCAAAAAGCTAG